CGCCAGCATTTATCGTTCAGCGTCTTTTGGATTTTAGCCATCCTAACTGGGGTGAGATGGTATCTCAGTGTGGTTTTGATTTGCATTTCCCGGATGCTGAGTGATGTTGAACATGAAAATTATTTTGTTGATTAAATATATAAAAGTTCATGCAAAAACAAAATCTAATTTTATGGCACAGGTTATGTATTTGACCAACACATATTTACCAAGCACCTCAAATGCCCAGCAAAAGCCAGGTGCTGAGGCCACCACAGCAAAAGAAGCTGGCCCCAGGCTTTGTGTGTATCTACGTGTGTGGGGATGGAGTGTGTGTTGAAGGGGAGGGAGTTGCTCATATAGATGAGACTTGCCTGAGGAGCATTTGATATTCATAAAATCCATTCAGGTGTTTAACATTCCAAAAGGAGTTGGCACGTGACTCATTTTAGATAGTAAATTCTCTCTCTCTCTGCACCTCACTCTCCTCACATGTAAAATGGGGTGGCTGAACTAGATGCCAAGACTGTCTTCCAGCTCTGACATTCTAGTATTCAATGGCTCTGTATAAAAGACGCCTAGATTTATAAATCAGTTTATACCCAATCTTTCATGAGTAGTCTTTTATGGAAAGTATAGTCATTTCACTCTCCTTGAAAATCTCATATCGTTTTGAGTTTCCATTACTTCCATACAAAGCAACTCTGATGTACCCACTCACTTTCTTTTTTCCAGACAGTATGGCCAATACCTTATATCTCCAACCTGTCCAAAGAAGTACAATCAATTTAATGAACTCACTTCGTTGAAAAAGTGACCCAATGGAAGTATTATTGTTCCAAGAGAAATGGTTTCCTTGACTCAATGGAGTTGAGACCCAGAAATTCAGATTCCAGGTGGAGCTGAAGGACCCAGAGGGTAGTAAATATTATAATTCAGCACAGCTATCTACCAACGCAGCAAGGTGTGTACCCACTGGGTGAAGGGCAGCCAGTTACTGCGCATGTACACCCTTGATACACACCCCTACACCAAAAAGGCCCTAGGTAGAGGAAGAGTCTTGTGGATCTGACATTTGGATAAATCACCTACTGCTGTCTCTTAGTTTTTTGCTATGTTCACATACAATGGCCATATTATTCGCAATAGAAAACCAACACAGATAAAAAGTAAAATCCCCCTTCATCGGCGCCCTATCTACCTGGCCTCCTTCCCAGGTTCTTCTCTGAGATAACCAGTTTGGCCTCTAAACTTCATCAAGTCAGCGGTTCTCAGTCAGGAGTGATTTTGTTCCCCTGGGACTATGTGGCAATATTTGGAGATATTTTTGGCTGTCACAACTGAGGGGTTGGGGGAGTGGTGGTGCTACTGGAATCTAGTGGGCAGAGGTCAGGGATACTGCTAAATATCCTACAATGCACAGGACAGGCTCACAACTCCCGCAGGAAGGAATTATCTAGCTGCAAATGTCAACAGTGCTGAGGTTGAGTAACCCTGATCTAGAGCCTTCTCTGAGCATTTACATATATATAATATATGCACATATACATTATATACATATATACACGTATATGCCTAGAAGAATATATAGGCTTGTTTCCTTTTCCACAAATAGTATGGGCTGTTATTCTCTATTCTCCCCACTCGTTCCTACCCCCAGCAGATTCACGGTCCTTCTCTGACCTGCCTGTGTTCCGGCGCTGTCCCCAGCAGACTGTCACCAGGGGTCCTTGCCAGCTGCCTTGCGGTTGGGTACAGCCAGTAGGAGGCTTGCGCAGGAGAGCAGAAGGCAGGAGGAGAGAGGCTGAGGCATCTGTTCCCCTGCTCCCTCCTTGCTCTAGTACCAGGTCTCCGGCAGTGACCTTGCTCTGCAATGGAGCGCCACTCTGGCAGCCCTGCCTGATGCGATCAGCATGACGCCAGCTCTCACTAGGCTCTGCTAACAGGATTTGCTCCCTTTGCACCTCAGCCCTAGAGGCCTTTGGCTCACTCAATTAATCAATCAATTCATCTTCCCATCCTCTATCTATCTGTCTGTCTTTCTATCTATCCATCCACCCAACCATCCTCTTATCTACCCAGACAGCCATCCATCTACCCGTCCATCCCCCATCCATCTTCTTATCTACCATCCATCCTTCCATTCATCCATCCATTGTCCCACCCATTCACTGGTCCATGCATTCATGCATCTACCTACCCATGCCCCATGCACCCATCTACCTACCCATGCACCCACACACCCATCTCAGAACTGTGCATAGAACTGTGCTGGGCTGGGCAAAGTACCCAAAGAAATACCTTGAAAACTTGAGTATAGTCATATCCAGGAAGCAGTAAAATTAAAATATAAAGAGGAATGCAAGACAATGTCTCTAGGAAGAAGTAAATGGGACAGATAACAAATTATTTCAAAAGAAGAGAGGAAGAGGAGATCTATGACCATTTTTCATGTCACTGTGAATTACTTCTGCAGACTAGTTGATTTCCATTTGGTACTCTCCAAGTGATAGTTATTAATTGGACCTGGAGGAGGGAGTTTGCTCCCTTCAAATCAGATTAGCACTTTATACCAGAGTCATCATCCTCTGTTCTTTGACCTCATACCACATCCAAAGTGCATGGTGTGCAGGACTACTTTGTGATTTGGAAAGCATGAGACAAATGCTGGAGGCCATGTGACTTTCCAGGCCACAATAATAACTAGCAAGCCAAGGTTACTAACTGGGTACTCACAGATCCTGGGGATCAAATGTGATGTACTTAGTTCAATCCAAGAATGTCAAGGTCAAAATTAGTTTTGAAAAGCAAAAAATGGGAGTGGAAACATATTTTTATTTTTATCTTTGAGATCAGATATCTTAAAATACTGAACTTTTGAAAGTCCCAGTGTAATAACTCATTCAGGTAAGGATTGTCAACAGAAACTCAAAGCTTTCCCTGGGTTTGTGGTTGGGAAACAATATCACCTAGCAGATTACTTAGGGGAAATAATACTTTTATAATGGAGAAATCTGGGAGACACCACCTTAACCAAGTAATCAAAATTTATGTCATCAAATTACAAGGCGCCATCAAATGAATGCCTTTGGTTGTAATACACTGAGAAGAACCTAATATCACCCACTGAATCACAAAGAAATAATCAAATAATTTCAGAGTATGGGATATTCTACCAAATACCTGGTCTGGAATCCTCCTAACACTCAATGTCCTGGAAGACCCCCCCCCCCAAAAGGAAACTGTTCTAGATTAAAGAAGACTAAAGAGACAAGATAATGTGCAAAGAAGGGAAGGAGAAAAGGAAGGAAAGAGAGGAAAGGACAGACAGCTCTAGAGGACACTGTTTGGATAATTGGAGAAGTTCGAACATGGACTACATATTAGAAAATATTAGTGTATCAAAGTGAAATTTCTTGAATGTTGTTCTGTAGGAAAATAGCCTCATTCTTAGGAGATAAATGCCGAAGTATTTATGAGTAAAATGTTATAATGTCCTTTATTTACTTTCACATGATTTAGAAAAAAAGTATACACATATATACAAAATGTTAACAATTGGTGCATTTAGGTGGCAGATGTACAGGTATTCATTGTGCTCTTCTTTCAACTTCTGTGCAGATTAGAAGTTTTCCTAGATGAAAAGCTGGGGACCTTAGGGAGGGCCCAGCACAGTCAGGTCTGTGCCACGTCCCCTCGGCCCACCCTGTGCCCTGGGGGAAGAAGGTTTTGTAAGGCTCAGAATTTCCATTACCTTCTCTCATTAGATGCAAAATTACATCTCCCTGTTCTGTCGTAAGCGACAGGGACAAAAATACCATCAACAGGGCCACCAATGTCTTTCTTGGGCTCTTGGGGTGACCTACCTCCTGAAACTCATCATAGGAGGTGCAGGGGTAGCCCAGGAAGCAGTCAGGGCTGAAGATGCTGGTTATACAGTACTTGTAGCTTCGTAGGTGATTGCAAACTGCAAAGTCTCACGTTCTTGGAAAGCAAAGCCCACGGGAGCTTGCAGGAGGCCTCTCACTTTTGACGTGTGAACCATTCCAACCAAGTGAGGAATCCCCTCAACTTTTCACTGATGGGTGTCAGCACTACTGGGGGCTGTGGTGGGGTAGGTGGGGGCCGAGCACAGAGAACAGATACATAGATAGATAGGAACAGAGAGAGGGGAGAGCCAGAGAGACAGAAATAGACAGAGAGAGAGAGACAGAAGAGAGATTCAGAGACAGAAAGACACACACAGAGAGGAAAGAGATTCAGAGAAAGACAGAAAGAGAGAGAGACAAAGGACAGAGAGAAACTATACATATATATAGAGAGAGAGAGAAAGAGAGAGAGAGATAGACAGACTGAGAGAGAGAAGATAGCACTGGCTTTAAAAAATCTTTTGAAAGATAGCAACAGCTTTTAAAAATAGAGAAAGAATACATATATACATGTATATATATATATNCCCTTTGCACCTCAGCCCTAGAAGCAGTGAAGGCTTCCCACAGTCACTAGATTCTGGGTGCTTCAGCATCCCTTGTTTGTTCCTTTAACCCTGCCCACACCTGTAAAAGTAGTCCCTTCAATAAAGTCATGTGAAACACTTGCAGTGAGTTCTATCTCCTGGGGGACCTTGAGTGACACATGGTGCAACAGACTGAATGTTTTTGTGTTGGAATCCTACCCCCAGCGTGATGGTATTAGGAAGTGGGGCCTTTGGGAGGTAATTAGGTCATCAGGGTAGATCCCTCGTGAGTGGAATTAGTACCCTTATAAAACGGACCCTAGAGAGCTTTCCTGCCCTCTTTCTGCCATGTAGGAAGATATAGCAAGAAGATAGCCGTGTGCACCAGGACTTACCGTCCCGGCACCCTGACCTCGGGCTTCCAGCCTCTGCAACTGTGAGAAATAAATTTCTGTCATTTATAAGCCACCCAGCCTGACCTGACTAAGACTCCTGGTGTATTGCATGTCATTCTGTCACTTGCCTTTCACCTAATAGGCCTTGGAGGTTTTCTCCCTTCAGTACGTAGAGCCCTATCCTTATTTGTAATGTTTACATGTAGTATTTAATCTATAGTATTCAGTCATTTACCAACTGCTGGACATTTAGGTTTTACCTGCAGTCTTCCGCTATTACAAACAAAGCTACAGTGAGCATGCTCAAACACGCCTTCTTGTGCATACGTGCGAGTATTTCTTTATGGCATGTTCTGAGGAGTGAAGTGTCTAGGTTAAAGGAATATGCATATACAACTTCACAGATACTGTAAGCTCTATCTTTTATGATAAATATTGTGAGGATTACACGAAATACTCTATGTGAAAAGGGTTTTGTAAAGTGCTATATAATTTTTTAAAAGTTAAAACTCTCTTGGAAAATAACTGCTCTTCTCTCCAACTATTATATGATATTATTTATAGCAAATGCTGATTTTACTGTCTTGATGATTTTATAATCTTGTTCTTTTTGAGTGAGAAGCTGGGCAAAATAACAATGCAAAGAGTGTGTGTGTGCACACGTGTGTGTGTATGTGCGTGTCGGGGGACTGGTGTGGTGAATCATCATCACCGTGGTGACTTCTTGACCTACAATGACTTTGTCTCATGTTGCCTGCTTCTTTTGTTAATAGATGCATTCTTCCTGCCACAGAGGTAGGTGGACATGACCCAGCTCGAGCCAGTCATTGTATTTTCCTTTGCTGACCAGAATTATTAGCTAAAGGAGTGAACATTAGACCCACGGCAAATGCCATTCTACTCTCCTTACAGTAGAGCTTAAGCTGGTTGTAGTTGAGTTTCTGTCAGTTGCTACCAAGGATTTTAATTAATAAGACTGGTACACCTTTTAAAATTACTTGCAAGAATTTTTAAGTGAGTAAAATGGAAACTTACCAGTAAAGTTACCACTCTCTCCTGTGTTCAGGAAAAAGGTTTGTCCCACAGCACTGGTTTTCCCCTTAAATTGGCCAGCATAGTGCCCCATTTTGGGGTTTTTTTTTGTTGGGCAAGGGAAACAGCCACTCTAGTGGGAAAAAAACATAATTTGTCTGCAAGTGGTAGGCCTTTGGCTCACTCAATTAATCAATCAATTCATCTTCCCATCATCTATCTATCTATCTATCTATCTATCTATCTATCTATCTATCTATCTATCCATCCACCCAACCATCCTCTTATCTACCCAGACAGCCATCCATCTGCCCGTCCATCCCCCATCCATCTTCTTATCTACCATCCATCCTTCCATTCATCCATCCATTCTCCCACCCATCCACTGGTCAATGCATGCATGCCTCTATCTACCCATGCCCCCATGCACCCATCTACCTACGCATGCACCCACACACCCATCCCAGAACTGTGCATAGAACTGTGCTGGGCTGGGCAAAGTACCCAAAGAAATACCTTGAAAACTTGAGTATAGTCATATCCAGGAAGCAGTAAAATTAAAATATAAAGAGGAATGCAAGACAATGTCTCTAGGAAGAAGTAAATGGGACAGAAAACAAATTATTTCAAAAGAAGAGAGGAAGAGGAGATCTATGACCATTTTTCATGTCACTGTGAATTACTTCTCCAGACTAGTTGATTTCCATTTGGTATTCCCCAAATGGTAGTTATTAATTGGACCTGGAGGAGGGAGTTTGCTCCCTTCAAATCAGATTAGCACTTTATGCCACAGAGTCACCATCCTCTATTCTTTGACCTCACACCACATCCAAAGTGCATGGTGTGCGGGACTACTTTGTGATTTGGAAAGCATGAGACAAATGCTGGAGGCCATGTGACTTTCCAGGCCACAATAATAACTAGCAAGCCAAGGTTACTAACTGGGTACTCACAGATCCTGGGGATCAAATGTGATGTACTTAGTTCAATCCAAGAATGTCAAGGTCAAAATTAGTTTTGAAAGGCAAAAAATGGGAGTGGAAACATATTTTTATTTTTATCTTTGAGATCAGATATCTTAAAATACTGAACTTTTGAAAGTCCCAGTGTAATAACTCATTCAGGTAAGGATTGTCAACAGAAACTCAAAGCTTTCCCTGGGTTTGTGGTTGGGAAACAATATCACCTAGCAGATTACTTAGGGGAAATAATACTTTTATAATGGAGAAATCTGGGAGACACCACCTTAACCAAGTAATCAAAATTTATGTCATCAAATTACAAGGCGCCATCAAATGAATGCCTTTGGTTGTAATACACTGAGAAGAACCTAATATCACCCACTGAATCACAAAGAAATAATCAAATAATTTCAGAGTATGGGATATTCTACCAAATACCTGGTCTGGAATCCTCCTAACACTCAATGTCCTGGAAGACCCCCCCCCCCCAAAAAAAAGGAAACTGTTCTAGATTAAAGAAGACTAAAGAGACAAGATAATGTGCAAAGAAGGGAAGGAGAAAAGGAAGGAAAGAGAGGAAAGGACAGACAGCTCTAGAGGACACTGTTTGGATAATTGGAGAAGTTAGAACATGGACTACATATTAGAAAATATTAGTGTATCAAAGTGAAATTTCTTGAATGTTGTTCTGTAGGAGAATAGCCTCATTCTTAGGAGATAAATGCCGAAGTATTTATGAGTAAAATGTTATAATGTCCTTTATTTACTTTCACATGATTTAGAAAAAAAGTATACACATATATACAAAATGTTAACAATTGGTGCATTTAGGTGGCAGATGTACAGGTATTCATTGTGCTCTTCTTTCAACTTCTGTGCAGATTAGAAGTTTTCCTAGATGAAAAGCTGGGGACCTTAGGGAGGGCCCAGCACAGTCAGGTCTGTGCCACGTCCCCTCGGCCCACCCTGTGCCCTGGGGGAAGAAGGTTTTGTAAGGCTCAGAATTTCCATTACCTTCTCTCATTAGATGCAGAATTACATCTCCCTGTTCTGTCGTAAGCCACAGGGACAAAAATACCATCAACAGGGCCACCAATGTCTTTCTTGGGCTCTTGGGGTGACCTACCTCCTGAAACTCATCATAGGAGGTGCAGGGGTAGCCCAGGAAGCAGTCAGGGCTGAAGATGCTGGTTATACAGTACTTGTAGCTTCGTAGGTGATTGCAAACTGCAAAGTCTCACGTTCTTGGAAAGCAAAGCCCACGGGAGCTTGCAGGAGGCCTCTCACTTTTGACGTGTGAACCATTCCAACCAAGTGAGGAATCCCCTCAACTTTTCACTGATGGGTGTCAGCACTACTGGGGGCTGTGGTGGGGTAGGTGGGGACCGAGCACAGAGAGAGAACAGATACATAGATAGATAGATAGGAACAGAGAGAGGGGAGAGCCAGAGAGACAGAAATAGACAGACAGAAAGAGACAGAGAGAGAGACAGAAGAGAGATTCAGAGACAGAAAGACACACACAGAGAGGAAAGAGATTCAGAGAAAGACAGAAAGAGAGAGACAAAGGACAGAGAGAGAATATACATATATATATAGAGAGAGAGAGAGAGAGAGAGAGAGATAGACAGACTGAGAGAGAGAAGATAGCACTGGCTTTAAAAAATCTTTTGAAAGATAGCAACAGCTTTTAAAAATAGAGAAAGAATACATATATACATGTATATATATATATATATGAGGTTACTTCAAAGAGTTCATGGAAAGATTCGCATTATCTCTTAATTCTATTTTTCCATGAACTTTTTGAAGTGCCCTGTGTATATACATATAGAGAGAGGAACAGACAGAGAAACAGAGAGAGAAGATGGCAAAAGCTTTCAAAGGGGCTCCTACACAGCCTGGCTAGTTGTTGCATGTTGAGGGCAAAGATTGCTTGGTCTTCTGATTTTTCATGAGAAGCAAAAATCTCAACTTTTACCTGAAAATCTTTCTACGCTTAGATGACCGCAGCACACTCCCATTGTTAAAGTAGTCGCTGCGTAGGCCTGTCCAATGCTGCCACGGATTGCCAGTATCCTACCCACGCGCGAGGACTCCCGACCACACTGGACAGGCCTTTCCCACGAACCGACCTCTGTGCCCATGGCCTCAGGCTGCCGAATTCCTCCTCTTTGTTACGTGGGTCACAAGGCAAAAGCAGTGGAGAGGGAGGCCACTGTGGCCTCCAGCCACTCCTTCACAGCATTCTATCCATGGCCTTCTCCTTTCAACCAAAAAGTCCTCTCATTTGGAAAATGGTTTTTCATTTCTCTGGCTACTTGGAACAAATCTCCCCATGGAACAATCCACAGCGACCCCGGACCCACCTGAGGGCCATTCCTGGGGGTCTGCTGGGCTGGATCTACCACCCCTCGAGAAAGGAACATTCTCCTTTATGCCCAGGGTAGGTTTGCTCTCTGCAGCCCCACTGAGCCCACGGCCCAGCGACTTCCAGCCCACACCAGCACTCATCAGCAGACAATGGAGCCTGTTTCCAACTTGATTGTTTCTTTCATCCAAAATTGCCACCCAGGGACCCCATAATAGAGGAGAAAGTGGTTTAATTGTTCCCCAGTGCCCAGAGCCTGGGTGACCCGGAGCTTGACACAATAGAAACACACTCCCATGTTCTGGGCTTGTGCACTCTAAATTGCCTCTTTAATTAAACCTGGGCTTGGTCCTATTATGTGTGCCCTGCTCGTCACTTCTGAAAGGGGCAGCTATTACTGTGACTCTAGTGTTCTTTCAGGGAGTGCAGAATGGCCACGTCTTCCCAGGAGTTACCTGGTGTGGAGCTGAGAGGTCGAAAGCTCTGTTTATTTGTTGGTAGATGCTGGCTGTTGCTTTATCGACTCTGCTCTTTGACATTAAGCACATGGAATATTAAAGTGCCATTCAAGGCCACTCAACTCAGTTTTAACAAAGTGTATTTAGTGCCTACTTTGGGCTAGGCCCTGAGCAGGGTACTGAGGTGTTTGGGATGCCCAAGACACCGTCCTCAGTCTTGAGGAACTCCCAGCTCAGAAAAGGAAAGACAAAATGATCACAGACCCAAAGCCTCCCCTTTCAGGGAGGAGACTAAAGCCTGGTCTCAGGGGAGAGGCAACAGGAATAGCCGAAGCTCAGAACAAGGAGCAGCTAATGTAGACGGTGCTGTGAGGTCACCTAATGCTAAGGGTACAGATCCTTCTCTCTCAGATCAACAGAAACACACACAAGGCTTGCCAGGAGCCAGGCCCCCAGGCCCCCAGGCCTCCCCATGACACATGCACACCTCAAACCCACAGAACGCACCCTACTTTGTCTTCTTGCCAGCTCAGTCCTCTTGCATCCCTAGGACCTGACAACAGCAAACAGCAAGAAAGTCAAAGCCCTTCAAATCTTTGCCTCTGCCCTGCAGTTCTTCAAGGTGCAGGTGCTGCAGGTAGGAAGGGTGGCCAAAGCCAGAGCTGGGTATTTGCTAACGTGTAGTCCAGCCCTTGTCCCAGCATCCTGACATCTGGGGTAGACAGCACAGGCTGGGGCATGAGATCAGGGCTCTACAGTCAAAAATTGGGCTTAAATATAGGGTGGCCTTCGACATACTATGTAACTTTTCTGATCCCCATTTTACATCTGTAAAATGGAGCTAATCAGAGTAACTACCTCATAGCATTGTTGTGAAAATGCCCAGCACAGAATAAGCACTCTAGAAAGGGTGGCAAGTTCACTATTATGAAGGTCAGATCATACACTCTGCCTTCTCTTCAAATAGAGCAGTTCTTGCCTTACTTCTTTAATTTACATACCCTCCCATATTCCATTTATATCAATGATGGTCAATAGGGCATTTTTCCCACATCCAGACATTTGTTTTCTTCCACTTGGAAAGAAATCCAGATGGCCCACCTTTTGGCTAATTCCAAAACTTGAAACATTTAAAGCAAAGGTGCACAGGGAGGTAAGTGGTCCTAAAGTTAGGTCACGGCCACATCGAGGTATTCAACTCGCTCCAAACAGAGTGACAGCCTTCTGAGCAAATCTCCTCTCAGCACAGCCACCACTGCCTCTAGCTCTGCAGAAAGTTCTCAGAGATGGGTTCTTGGCAAGACAAGGAGGGAAGAGAGAGCAGAGGAAAAGAGATGAGGGGAAGGTGGGCTCTGAATGAGTGTGCACACATATTTCTCCATCTGTCTGTCTGTCTTGAGGAGGCCCTGGACAATACTAATATGCCCTAATGTCGTTACGCGCTAGTAGACACATAATAGGACTGGTGCAATTTTTGTTATGATATTTATTTTTAAATTCTAATTTCTACATTATATTGTTATACGGAGACTACATAACCTTTTATTGTTATATTCAGAGCCATAGCATAGTGGCAAAAAGCTTTGGCTTTTGAGGCACACAGATCTGTGGTCAAATTCTGTTTCTACTTATAGACCTTGTGATCAAATTCTGTTTCTACTTACAGACCTTGTGATCTTGGGCAATTACTTAACTTCATTGAGCTTCAGTTTCTCAACTATGAAATGGTGATTATGATACCCACTTTTTAGGGTGTTACAGGATTAATGAGCTAATGCATGCAAAATGTTCAGTGCAGCACATGGTAAACAGAAGTGACATCATCACCATCATTATCATTAAAAACACCCTTTATTGGCAAGTTTCATGAGCAGTTATGTAAGAAAATATTGAAAAAAGGACATTGATTTTAGAATAATGAAATAAAGGTACATATTTAGTCTCCAACAAAACAAACTGTAACCAAAGCTTTGACAAAAGAAGAAAAAAAACAACAAGAATTAACTTTGTATTTTGCAAGCACAGGTCAAATATCAACAATAAATACATCTGCCACTTTAGATGTTGGTAGGTTGGGGAGGAATGTAGGATTTGAAGACAGAGTGGCGGCCTTCCATAGACTACAGAAGGGTTTTGGTGCTACCTGGGGCACAGGCCGATGCCACTGGCACTGTGCTAGGTGTTTATTTGTGGCTGGTGCCCATTTCAACTGGCTGGTGTCCAAGCCCTTCTTGTAGTTAACCATTCGGAATAGCTCCCCTGAAGTGTGTGTGTGTGTGTGTGTGCGTGCGTGCGTGCGTGTGTGTGTGTGTGTGTGGTGGTGAGGGGGGACACCTGGACCAAATGTCATCAACTGTAGCCCTGGTCACCAGGAGGTGGGATTGAGGAACTCACCCAGGAAAGGGATTATGGGAGCAGAATCCGTGTGAACCACATCCACAAACATGGCATCGGATGGGTCCAGCCAAATCTCTCGGGTGCGCCCTGGAAGCATGGCTCTGCCGGATCCAGCCCTGAAAGGGAGGAGGTGGACAGGCAGGCTGCATTCTAAGAATGACCAGGATCTAAACCCCATACCCGCAAACTGAGCATGAGGATTCCTGGGCAAAGGGCCCAGCAGCTATGGTTTGGGGGATTGGGTCTGCAGTTCCTGGTCTGCTTGGAAGAGAGATGCTGAGACAGAAAGACCAGTTCAGGGGTCATTGCCTGTTGAAGAACATGCAGAAATCCCTTCTGCTGGCTCCACGGAGGATCTAGATGGCTTCCTTTCCCCCCAGTCACCTCCCACCCCCGCCCAGTCCCATTTCTCTTTTCCTTTCTCCCGCACATATGACACCTTTTGGCCACGGCGCTCAGAGACTGCAGGCTCCTGCCTGGCCTCACCCAGCTCCTCCCCAGTCCCTGAGCCCCACACGCGTCTTCTCCTTTGTGTCTTCACCACGCTGTTCCCCAGCCTGCTGTGCCCTTCCCCACATTCTTCCCTTACCCAAATCATTCTCCTCCAAGACCCAGCTCAAACGCCACCTCCTCATGGAAGGGTTAACCCCTCTCTATTCTCAGCCCAGTCTATCCACATTACAGAATTATTTTGCATTTATTAATTCTGTTTTGAATGTTATTTGCCTACTCAGTTGTCTGCCTCCCGGACTAGACTGTGGGTTTCCTGAAGCAGGGGTTGTGCCCAGATCAGCTTGGGACAGAAGCAGAGGGTGGGGGAGCGTGGTCACGTGACCTAATTCTTGCCCTGGTTCTGCTCGAGGTTCAATGTCTGTCCTCCCTGAGCTTGTTTCCTCCTCCAGAAAGTGGGAATAACGACAACAACCTACGTTACAGGGGTATTGTGAAAACTCCATGAAAAGATGTCATAAAAAAGACTTTGCAAACTGAAAAGTTCTATGTAAACATGAACTCTGACCCTCTCATCCTTCCCCCAGTGCCCAGCACAGTGCCGGGAGCAAAGGGGACACTCCTTAAATGTTGAATTGAACTGTTTGCCAAGCTACATACTGACTTGGCTGCACAAAATGAATAGGTGTCTGTGTCTTGTGTGCATTCGTTCTGCTTAGTGGTTCATTCATTCGTTCGGTATTTACTGAGCACCTCCTCCGTGGCAGGTCTCAGCCACTTTCATTTTCTGTGCCTGGCACCGCAAAGACATGCAACAAATATTTGTGAAACGGCTGAATTTTTTTCTAATCAGCTTTTTTTTTTTTTTTTT